CACTCTGTGTCATGTGGGATCTTCCCGGACCGGGGCACGAACCCGTGTCCCCTGCATCGGCAGGCGGACTCTCAACCACTGCGCCACCAGGGAAGCCCTGTACTGCATATTTGAAAATTGCTAAGAGCATAAAATTTAAAAGTTCTCATCACAAGAAATTTTGTAACTGTATGGTGACAGATGATAACTAGACTTACTGTGGTGATCATTTCGCAGTACATACTAATATCAAATCATTATGTTGTATACCTGAAACTAATATAATATCATGTCAATTATATCTAAAAACAGGCAGGTGTTTTGGATTCCACTTCGGACTTCCTAAAAAATGAAAGGTGGAAATCACTCCAAATCACATGTATGTTCAAGAAGTGTTGGGCAGTCAGAAAACATAATGATGTCCATGATGAGTAGTAAAGAAAAAAAAAACAATAGACTGGGAGGAAATATTTGCAACGAATATGATTTAAAAGGTGGGGGAGGGGGCTTCACTGGTGGCGCAGTGGTTAAGAATCCACCTGCCAATGCAAGGGACACGGGTTCAAACCCTGGTCCGGGAAGATCCCACATGCAGTGAAGCAACTCAGCCCATGCGCCACAACTACTGAACCTGCGCTCTAGAGCCTGCGAGCCACAACTACTGAGCCCACGTGCCACAACTTTTGAAGACTGCGTGCCTAGTGCCCGTGCTTTGCAACAAGAGAAACCACTGCAATGAGAAGCCAGCGTGCCACAACAAAGAGTAGCTCCTGCTTGCCACAACTAGAGAAAGCCCGTGCAGCAATGAAGACCCAACACAGCCAAAAATAAATTTAAAACAAAAAAAAAAAGGTGGGGGAGGATGACATCAATGGCTTAAAAAAAGCCCAATATTTATAAGAAAAACTGACAGCCTGATTTAAACATAGCCAAAGGATACAAAAAGTCATGTAAAAATTATAAATAGCCAATAAACTTATGAAAAGATGCTCAGCTTCAAGAGCAGTGAGAGAAATGAAAATAAAAACCAGAAGATATCATTTTTACTCATTATATTGGCAAGATTTTAAAAGACTAGTAACAGAATTCCCTGGTGGTCAAGTGGTTAAGAGTCCGTGCTTCCACTGCAGGGGACACGGGTTTGATCCCTGGTTGGGAAACTAAGATCCCACATGCTGCACAGTGCGGCCAAAAAGATAAAAAAAATAAAAAGAGTTTTGGTCAGAATACCAGAAGATACGCACTCTTACATGCTGCTGGTGAAAGTGTGAATTTTTACCACCTTTGGGGAAGTATTGGATACTATCTTGAACTTTAAAAATATGTATAGCTTATGAGCCAAGAAATTCCTCTTTTATGTATGTGTCATATAAAAATGAAACCACCAATAGATAAGATTTATGTGCAAGG